TGCTTGATACAGTTAAATTAGTCAAAACAGTCAATATAGGAAATCCGTTGGCACAAGTAAGTATAACTACCAAAAACGACCGAAATCAAGGCAGAACAATAAAAATAGTGGGGAACAACAAGGTAGTAAACTTTTGTCCCACAAAAAGAGAGGAATTAAATGTATGTACACCAACACTAGAAGTCTGGCAAATAAATTAAAAGCTTGAAATTAGGCTAATCAAAGAGGACTTCGACATAGTGGGTATAGCGGAAACCTGGCTGAACAGCACGCATGACTGGGCTCCTAATATAGAGGGTTATAACCTGTTCAGGAGGAACAGAGGTGGGAGAAGGGGGTGGGGTTTGCATTTACGTTGAAAATAATCTAAATATGCATATAAGGGACGATATCGCGTCAAATAATGCGGAAGACGTGGAAACCTTATGGCTGGAGCTAGATAAGACTGACACTAGCCGTAAACTTCTCGTTGGTATTTGCTATAAACCTCAAAATATAGGGGAAGAGGGGGGGAGTCAACCTTCACTCCCAGATAGGAATAGCTGGGAGAGAGGGCAATGTAGTCGTGATGGGTGACTTAAATTACCCGGACATCAATTGGGCCAGTGGAACCTCGGGTTCGGCAAAGGCGGGCCGATTTCTGAACATGTTGCGAGACAATTTCATGGACCAGATGGTGGAGATTCCGTCCAGAAAAAATGCCATCCTAGATCTAATTGTCACTAATAATGCAAAGTTAATCGAGGAGTAACTTTTTATGAGTGGGTGAGTAGAAACATCGATGGAGGGAGTCATATCTGGATTTCTCAAAAGGCTTTTGATACGGTACCACACAAACGCTTGCTACACAAGCTGAGAGCTATGGGCATAGATGAGGTGGTGTGTACGTGGATAGAGAACTGGCTACGGGAACGTGTCCAGAGGGTATCTGTAAATGGCACCTTTTCAGACTGGGCTAGTGTAATGAGCGGTGTGCCTCCAGGGTTCTGTGCTGGGTCCCATATTGTTCAACGTATTTATTAATGACATCGGGGAGGGTGTTGACCGATATTTCCGTGTTTGCGGATGATACCAAAATTGGGAGGGTAATAGACACGGACTTAGACATTATAACATTACAGGAGGACCTGGATAAAATAGGGGAGTGGGCATTAATGTGGAAGATGAGGTTTAATGTTGATAAATGCAAAGTAAGTGACTTTGGAAATAAAAATAAACATGGGTTATACAATTATGGGTATGCCACTAGGGAAGTCAGAAATGGAGAAAGATTTGGGGGTCATTGTAGACCACAAATTGAAGGGTAGCTTGCAGTGCCAGGCTGCTGTAAACAAAGCTAGCAGGGTTTTGTCCTGTATTAAAAAGGGGATGTATTGCAGGGACAAGTCTATAATTTTGCCACTTTATAGATCATTGGTTCGACCACATGATCTGGAGTATGCTGTCCAGTTTTGGTCACCAATACTAAGAAAAGATGTCCTTTGAGCTGGAAAGAGTCCAGTGGAGGGCAACCAAACTAATTAGGGGTATGGAGGACCAGAGCTATGAGACGAGGCTACTAAATTTAAACATGTTCACATTGGAGGTGAGGAGATTAAGGGGAGGATATGATTTCCATGTACAAGATGTTCAATGGTGGCAGCAACATTAGCGACAAACTACTGTATTTTTCCGTGTATAAGACTATACTTAAACATTTTTACCTAAAAAATTTGAGGGGCGTCTTGTACACGGGGGCCGAGAGGAGAACTGCGGTTGCGAAACTGCCGATACCTTTGCAAACTAGCCTCACGAGTGAAACTTCCGATTGCAGAGACAAGCTAACAGGTTTCCTCCAATCATGAGCCTTATGTACCTGACGTCAGCTGATGCTGTGGAGAGCGTGTAGCCAGTGCCCAGATGCAACAGAGAGCCCATAAAAATGTCAGAAAACAAAAAAAATACCGGTACCAGTAAGCAGCTGTCTTACTCTGCAAAATGTAAACTGGATGTAATCAGTTATGTAAAAGAGCATGGAAAATATTGTATTTCTGAATTTTGGGTAAGAAAAGTGGGGGGCGTCCTATGCATGGGGGCGTCTTATAGACGGAAAAATACGGTATTTAAAATTAACTCCATTACAAAAACTAGAGGCCACCACCTAAAATTGGTGGAAAAAATTCCAGCACAAGGGGCAAAGGGGGTTCTTCACAGTTAGAGCGGTTAGGGTCTGGAACTCGCTCCCACAGGCAGTGATTTCAGTAAGAATGTGGAATTGTTCAAGAAACTTTTGGACGATTTCTTAAGGGACCGTCATAGACAGGGGTGCGGGTACTCCTAAGAATGAGATCCTATAGGTTGAACTTGATGGACTAATGTCTTTATTCAACCTCAAATACTATGTAACTATGATACAGGACAGGATTCTACTAGCTTTGCTTACAGCAACCTGGCACACGTTTTGTGAATGTGCATCAAATAGACACAAAAATTGGCGTTTTGACACGCGTTTGTGAAATGCACTTGCTTTGCCATGACCAGCTAATGGCAGCTCAAACTCGTTCTGGAAGATGCGCTGTTTGCGCACGTTAAAATGCGCAGAAATGTGGATCGCATGTCACAGATTTTGTTACATGCACTACATTTTCCACACATTCCTGCCTTACCATTCTAAAGATATGGAATTTTTTTTAAACTCCAGTTCCTCGGTGGCGTTCAAGGACGTAAGCATTTACACAAAATGCAGACCAAAGTTATGTTGCCTTATTTTTCATAAAATTAAATCAGTAACTTAACTACACCGTTTTAAGCATTTAAAAAAAAACCTGTTGCTTTGCACTACACTGGCAAAGCACATTTGGAAAGATTTTTTGTAAACCCCATTATTTAAATTGTTGACCTCCAAACTAAGGGTTCTTTCACACGTGCGGCAAAACCAGGCATTAATCAGCCGTTTTTAACACCTCTGCTGCCTTTCAACGCCTATTTGGCATAAAACAGGAACTGCCCAGTACAGTTCACACGTGGGCGTTAGCGTTGCATCAAAATAAAGATGGCATGTCGCGTTCTGGAGGTATTGCAAACTCCATAGCAGTATATTGAGCTGGTTGGTCAACGCTCGCTAGAGTGGTTTTCAGGCATTTGTCAAGCGTTGCACAGGTGTTCAGGAGAGGTATAGGAGGTATTGCAAGTTCAGAAAACACTGGGAAATCAGACAGTAAGAAGACAGAGCAGCTGTAAATGCCATGACCCAAGTCTGACCAGCTACTGCGACTCTTGCTGGTCACTTCCCTTTACTACATCGCTGTACCCTCCCCTACTTGCAGGGCATTTTGCAAGTGTTTTTGACACCTCCCTAATGCCTGCTTAATGCCTTGTTAATACTAAAGGCGTGTTAATCAGCGTTGCTCTGTCCTTAAATTCTCAATGCATTAGTGAAAGAGCCTGAAGAGTATCCCGAGTCTACATAGCTGCTCTGATGCCCCAGATCCTACACACAACGCTATACTTCTGGTATGAAGGAACTCCATCAGCTGACATGAGGGCCATAGATCTGAAGTGTTTTGGCTTCTTATTGACTACACCACATTTCATTTTTACATCAGACACCGATACCCCTCCTTTTTATTTTAGTAATGGAAGAGGGGATGACTGCTGGCCTAGGCTGTAGGCTGGCTAGTAGGCCTGCGTTGAGAAAAATATACAAAAGTTCACCTTTTTTAGTTATATATATATATATATTAGTTTTAGCATCACCGCTTTTATAAAAGACAGTGAATGTACCTTGGTATACAGGATTCCTTACAGTCAGTGAAAGTCAGGTAAATTAGAGTTGGACAGCTTTTCTTGCTAATAATGCAGAATTGACTGTGTGCATTTACGGGCACTTTTGTCTTTTGTGTATTTGATGCCATGTTGCATTGTGGACTGTCACAGGTTAACAACCAGCCACATTACATGATGGCTTATTAACACTTTCACTGCCACCAATGTAAGGCATACAGCGGGGGAAAAAAAACTATTTCTTGCTTGCCAGGTCGGTATGCTTTACGTTTGTTGCAGCCACCAATCTGCTCCCCTGGGAGTGTCCACTGCTCTCCCTGTCTGTATTGGCAGAGAGCGAGGGTCAGAGGGGATAAAGAGGAGCCTGCTGCCAGTGCCCAGCGGGGAGGAGTGAGCTGCAGACAGGGAGGATACAATGATAAAATGTGTCATTTACCCATTTTTCACTTTATTGAACAAACGCTGTACTGATCACTACAATGTTCATTCATAACTGAGTAACTGTTTACTATCTCCTCAGCTTGTGAATGGACAGAAGGTGTTTTGTATAGATCACTTATTCATTCATAACTGGAGCTTGTAAATATACTCTTATCTCCTCAGCTTGTGACTGAACAGGAAGCCCCTGTATAGATTACAACTTTCTGTTTAGTAGGTGCTGGGGCTGCGTGGAAGGAGATAAAGGACTGTTTCCAATCTTTTTCTGTCTCCGAAGGGAAATATTGAGAATATTGGGCCCTGATATTTCTCCACACCCCCTGTGCACTGATTAGTGTCACATGACCTACAAAATTAGTAG